AATTTACGTCAACACCTGTATTATTCATATTATTTCACATAAAAAAAAAGAAAAAAACAATGAAAATGTTTACATTTACCTTTACAATTATAACCATGTTGTGCAAGTGTTTCTGTTAATATTGATGATGCATTTGATGGCCAACAATGAAATCGACTATTATCCATATTATGCCATGTCAAACATGTAATAAAAAAACTTGTAATTATAAACTATTTAATAAAAAATTATCATATTAAATTAGAAAGAAGTATATATTAACATCTATATTACCAGGATGAACATTCTTTGTTTTTTTTTGTTGAATGAATAATAATACAAATGATGTGAGATGTTATACGATTAATAATACGATTGTTTCTATGTGAACGAAAGAGATAAGCATTATGTGAAGTTTATCTTTCCTTCCATATGAACAATATAATTGCTCATTAAAAAAACAAAAAGTTTTGTTCTTCTCTAATTTCTCTTGTTAATATATCGATAAAATTTATTCAAAAAGTTGAATTAACACTTTTCAATCAGAAGATAAATAAATATTCACTTTGATTTTTAGACACCTTGATCATAGTTAGCCATATATAGATTTCATTGACCAATGTATATTTTGATAGTAGAGCTGAACTAAGATGTATACGACCAATGTGGCAAGATGGTTCCAAAAACATGATCAGATCAAATGTCACATTTTCATGACTCATATATTCTAATAGTTTATGAGAAAATTATTGAGATATGACTACTTCGGTAACAATAGAGTGATACAAACATGTAGAATGAACGAAATATTAGTGAATTAAACAAAGTAATAAATCTCCAAGATGAAGACTATTAGAGGTGATACGAGTCTTGCAAAAAACCTCAACTAGGATCAAAACGATTAGTCTCGTTCATGACTTTGTGGCGTCGGTTCGAAGATTGAATTAATTCTTTTAAATTTCATGATTACTGTAACATGTATAATGCATCTGTACAAGTTGTAACTTGTCTAATATCTCCTATCATAAGATATTATATATTCGAAACTTTCTTGTGTATCAATGTTATGCAAAGTTTGAAGTTAAAAGTCGATTTTCAACGTGATATGAGGTAGACGATAGTTTTTTGTTGAAGAATTCAGTGCAATTTTGATATGTCGAGAACCAAGAGTGTGCGAAAAACTAAACAATTCTACTGTAGTGGCAGATCCAGGATTTTTTACTATGCTGGATTTCATCTTTAGAGCATGGGATCCAGATGAAACTTATAGAGGTATGATATTGGACTCAAACGATGAGCTTTTATCGAAAGATTTTTGCAATAGGAGTTTGCGAAAAAAATTAGCA